AGGTGTGTGTGTGTGTGTGTGTGTGTGTGTGTGTGTGTGTGTGTGTGTGTGTGTGTGTGTGTGTGTGTGATGCATCTGCTCGCATACTTCCAGCCACAACCCCTGCTCTGCCCATTCCTTTTTTTTTCTCCAACTTTCCATCGCAATCTGTCGTGCTGATGTTACGTTTTCACACTATCAACTCGCTTCCTTCATCTCCAACACATGCATGCACGCGTGAAACACGATGCAGCTGCTTGCGCGGTCCTCCCGCGCCCTTGAAAACGCGGACATATTCGTCCGTCTGTACGATTGCATCATGCTCCTCCTCAACATCTGCGGCCTCCACGACCAAGCTGTCGAGGTGTGCCTATGTCTGTGTGTGTGTGTGTGTGTGTTTGTCTATGTGTCTGTGTGTTTGTCCATGTGTCTGTGTGTGTGTCTGTGTGTCTGTATGTGTGTGTGTGCATGGAAGAATTCGTGGACTGCGAAACTCAATCAACCTCAATCAACTTCAAACAATCACCACCACCACCATCATGTCGCCCACTGCCACCATCATGTCGCCCACTGCCAGGTGCTTGAGCGGGCAATTGCGGCGACGTACGGTGCAGACAACTTCCACCTGTGGATGCTCCTCGGCGCTGAACTCGAGCGGTGAGCACAACAACCGACCAACCAACTGCTGAGCTGGTGGTCGTCGTGGTGCTGCTGAACATGCATCCTCAGTGTGCACATGAGCGAGTCTTGTGTGATGCTGATGTGTTCTTGTCTGGCGTGTACATAGCCATGAGCCCCACTTGTCTTCCTCCTCGCTTGTCTTCACCATCACCACCACCATCATCATCATCATCATCATCATCATCATCATCATCATCATCATCATCATCATCATCATCATCATCATCATCATCATCATCATCATCATCACTGCAATGATGGCAGGACCGACCGCCACAAGCATGCAATTGCAGTCTATCACCAGTGTGCACTTGATCACACCACCACGCACCCGGCGCGCGTGTGTGAAGCCCTGACCGCCGCTGCAAAGGCGTCGCTCTTCCTCGGAACGCAGCGCGCATCACAGGTGACCGCATGTGTGTGTGTGTGTGTGTGTGTGTGTGTGTGTGTGTGTGTGTGTGTGTGTGTGTGCATGTGTGTGTGTGTCTGTGTCTGCGTCTCTTTGCACGTATGTCTGTGTGTTGACGCTGCTTACTCCCATCCACCCACATGCGCTCTTGCACATGTGCACTCAGGATGCAATCCAGGCTGATCTCCGCAAAGCGCGCACCGCCTCGACAACACAACAACAGCGACACGCAACAGACCAGGTGACCACAACCATGCCATGACGCCTGGCTCGTTTCAATGCAATGCATATGTGTGTGTTTGTGCGGAAAAAACCATGTGGCATTTGCACGTTCCTCGCTCGCACTAGTTGCTGTACTCCCTCCCTCCCTCACACACACACACACACACACACACACACACACACACACACACACACACACACACACACACACACACACACACACACACACACACACCCTCACACACACACCCTCACACACACACACAACACAACACATACACAACACACAACCACCCATGTGTGCGTACTGTGTGCAGCTGGCGGCGGCAACGCATCTGCTTGAGTACCGATCACTGCACGACGCTGCGCAGCAGGCAGCCGCCCTCAAGGCAGCAAAGACCGCGCTCTCATCGTACGTTCACACGCACACACATATACACACATGCACACATGCATGTGCACTCTTTCATCCCGAGTCGTGTCCATGTGTTTGTGTGTCTGTGTCTGTCTGTCTGTCTGTCTGTCTGCCAGTCTGTCTGCCAGTCTGTCTGCCCATGTACGCGCACGTTCAGATGCAAACGCACCTACGGTAGCACCACACTCATGGTCACACACCTCCGCAACTCACCTGCCCCACAACACCACACCCCATACACAACACGTGTGCACGTCAAACGACATCATCAGGATTGATGACGACCTCAAGACGGCGGATGACATGTACTTGGAGGCGCTGACACTCGCACACGCGCGCGCCACCGACGATGCAGTGGGGGCGGTGTGGTCGTGTCTATCCCTCTGCCCAACACACCGCCAGGGCCTGCAGCTCTTTGCCCTCCTTCTCACCGCCAAGCGAAAGTGAGCAAGACATGCCATCTTGGCCGCGGTGACAGATTATGGTGCACTTGTGGTCGTTTTTTTTTTTTTTCCTGTAATCAATGCTGCTTGATCACGGCCAAAACAGCGCAAGTGCCTTTGTTCACGTCACACACACACACACACACACACATGCACATATGCACCTGATGCTTCTCACCGTACACACCATCATCAGCTTGGATGAGGCCCTCTCCGTATGCCACCAGACACTCGAGCTCTTCCCAACAGATGTCGTCAGTATGCGCATCGCTGGACACACAACCCACGCCCTCGGTGCGTCCGTGGCTCGTTTTGCTGGCTGTGTCTGTGTCTGTGTGTGTGTGTGTGTGTGTGTGTGTGTGTGTGTGTCTGTGTGTGTGTGTGTGTGTCTGTGTGTGTGTCTGTGTATGTGTGTGTGTGTGTGCGTGCGTGTGTCTGTGTGTCTGTGTGGATCCGCGTTTGGTTGCTGTTGGGATTCGTTGTTCATCCGCGCGTGGGCGAGAAAGTTCACCCACCTCACCTTTCCAAACACACACACACGCACACACTCTCTCTGTCTCTCTCTCTCTGTCTGTCTGTCTCGCGCGCGCGCACAGAGGGCCCGCGGGGAGCACTGTCTGCTTACAAGACATTCTTCGCCTCAATGAACACAATGATGCGGTCAGTGACACGTGTGTATGTGTGTGTGTGTGTTCAACGAGTACCATGCACTGTTGCCCCTCCGTGGATCTTCCGTTTGTGTGCTCTCCGCCTCAGTCATCCACGCCACACGCGTGCGCACTTGTACACAACACCTCCCATGCACTCACCGCCATTGCTCGCCTGCACGCCATATGTCTTGTTGTGTTGCGTTGCGTTGGTGCCAGCGATGCGATGAAGGCTGGGCGCCCGTTCCAACCGCTTGGTCCCTCCTCCATTGGTGCAGACACCCTCACAGGTGAATCCTCACGTCGGGATGGTGGTGGCGGTCATGATTGAAGTCATGTTCATGATGTGGTGTTGCGCCTTCCATGGTTTGCTTCCCGAAGCAACAACATTCACGCTTCTTTGTCACCCCGCTCACGTGCTGCATGTTTGCATGCTTGCCTGCATACGTGTACGTGTGTGTGTGTGTGTGTGTGTGTGTGTGTGTGTGTGTGTGTGTGTGTGTGTGTGTGTGTGTGTGTGTGTGTGTGTGTGTGTGTGTGTGTGTGTGTCTGCTCAATCTGTGCGAGAACACAGCTTCGGCATCCCCCTGTCTTCGTCGCCACCCTCATCATCATCGTTATGGCCATCACTGCAGGGCGCGTGCGTGATGCCATTGAGCATCTTGAACAAGCGCTCACCTTTGACGAACACGATGTCACCTCCCTTGTTGAACTCGGCATGTGTCAGCACAGCCTGGTGCGTACATGAGAGCATACACGCGCGTATGTGGTCTTCTTCTTGTTCTTCTTCTTGTTCTTCTTGTTCTTCTTCTTCTTGTTCTTCTTCTTCTTGTTCTTCTTCTTGTTCTTCTTGTTCTTCTTCTTCTTGTTCTTCTTCTTCTTCTTCTTCTTCTTGTTCTTCTTCTTCTTCTTCTTCTTCTTCTTCTTCTTCTTCTTCTTCTTGTTCTTCTTCTTCTTCTTCTTCTTCTGTCTGCATGGCTGCACTGCAACGGTGCCTTGTCCGCTCATCGCTGTCTGTTCACCGCCACGACGACACCTCCCCCCCCCCCGCCCTTCCTTTGTCTCTTCGTCGCTCCATCAATCGCACGCATTCACACAGGGAGAGGCGGACATGGCCGAGAACAGACTGCAGCATGCACTTCGCATCGACCCAACACACGCAGAGGTGCTGCGTTGCATCATGATCGTGCTTCCTCTGCCACTGCAAGCGCGTTTCTGCCCCCACTCATTTACACTCATTTACACTCACTCACACACATTTACACTCACGCACGCACACACACACACACACACTCACACACTCACACACTCACACACACACACACACTCACTCACACGCACACACTGCATGCAGGCACACCGAGCGCTGGCGACGTTGCTTCAGGAGCGTGGAGCAACAGATGACGCTGTGCAGTGCATGTTGCATGCATTGCAACTCGGCGCACACCAGCCCATCCTCCCATACCACACGCTCACATGCTGTCCATTCCTCACGTGAGCCATGCGTGTGCGTGTGCGTGTGTGTGTGTGTGTGTGTGTGTGTGTGTGTGTGTGTGTGTGTGTGTGTGCCGTCAATCGCTCCTTGTCTTTGTTGCAGGTAGTTTGTGAGCAATGTTGCTTGCTTGCTTGTTTTGTTTACAGCACTACACAAATACACAAGTACACAATACAAAGCACGCCATGTGAACAAGACAACAACAACCACAACAACCACAACGAGACAACAACACGTGAAGAAGAGCGTGAAGAAGACGCACTAGACTAACTAACGGCTTCAAACAAGTGTGCAGTTAGTTCAGTTCTCCAAGTGGGGTCTTCAAAGCAAATCAACAAGTCAAAACGTAATGGGTAAAGCTCACTCAGTTGTGACACAAGGACGGCGAGAAACGGAGGGGAAAGTAACAACACGCATACACACTCACACACTCAATCACTCACTCGCTAAATGACATCAACACACCACATACACACACACTCACTCACTCACTCGCTCACTCACAAACGCGCACGTAAACACCACATAATCATCATCACCATCATCACATCAAGTGCCTTCCTTAGATAGCGCGAGAAACAAAGCACAGAGAGGGAGAGAGAGAGAGAAAATAAATCACTCGCACACACGACCACCGCACAACCGGTCATCTTCAATCCAACACCGACATGACAGCATCACATCAGTGCCGTGTGAGTGACGATGAGGGCGGAGCAGCAGCAGACGCCGATGATGACGACACCATAGACTGCAGTGCGTGGGGCAACTGCACGGGGCGGTGCTTGTCAAGCCGCGGCATGTGCTTGGTCACATACTGCAGCAGCAGCTTCTGGTCGGCCGTCATGTGTGCGGGGCTGCGCTGTGCATATGTGGCGATGAGCACGTCACGGAGGTCGCATGCGCGCTGCCGAAGCGTCGCCATCTCGCGCACGAGCGCCTTGCGCCGTTCGTCCTGCTGCCGTAGAACACGCTCCTGCTCCTCGCGCTCCTGTCGCCGCCGCTCCCTGTTGCGCCGCGCGCACGCCGTGTTCTTCTTGCGCTTGGCCCAGTACGCAGCCGTCTTCTCCGTGTCCGGCACAAACCGCTTTGGCCGGCGCTTGCGCGGTCGCCCGTCCACTGTATATCCAAGCGGCGCCTCCGGGGTTGCCCCGGGGATGGCGGGATCAGCCTCATCGGCACCACCATCAGCACCACCAGCACCAGCGCTGCCCTTGCTCTTCTTGGTCTTGCTGGTGCCGCCTGCTGCTGCTGCACGCTTGGCGCGCTTGCTGCGGGGACCAGCAGCCGAGGTTGCTGATGCTGTGGTTGCTGATGCGGATGTGCCCTTGATGGCAGTGGTGGTGGAGGTGGCGGTGGATGTGGAAGAGAGGGCGGGCGAGGGCGCCTCCATGTCCAGTGAGAATGGAGACGGCATGACACCTGCAAACTCGTCCGCAGCGTCGTCCACAAAGTCCATGGCGAAGATGTTGCTCTCTGCGCGGGGCAGGTCCCCTGCAGCCGTGTTGGTTGTGTTGCTGTTGCTACTGTGGTTGTGGTGGTGGTGGTGGTGGTGGTGGTGGTGGTCCGCCAGCGACGACGACGCTGAGGAGGACGCTGTGCACGTTGGCACGACGGTGTGGAGGGGCGCGGGCCCTGTGGCTGTGCCACTGGTGGAAGCGTCTGAGTCGATGGTTCCCAGCAGCTGGTCGAGGGTGGCTATGAACGACGGCTGCTTCTGCAGCAGGTCGCCAAAGAAGTCTGCAGACGGCTCACGGAAGAGCAGGCCGTTGTGCATCTCCAGTTGCTGGCTGACGGTGCTGGTGGTGCTGGTGGTGGTAGTGGCTGTGGCTGTGGCTGTGGCTGTGGCTGCAGTGTCAGTTGAGGTGGTTGCCGGGTAGGTGGGGTACCCTGCGGTGCTGGCTGGGCTCGTGTTGCTGATGGTGTCGTGCGGTGCGGCCCCGAGGTCGGCCATGAGGGACGATGCAGTGGGCAGCATGGCCATCATGGACTCCGACATGGGTGGGAGCGCGCCCAGCATGTCCTCCGAGGTGAAGCGCTGCAGCTCGCCCTGGTCGCCGGCGTCATCCAGCGACGGCGCAGTCGACGACAGCATGGTGGCCATGCTTGAAGGCGCCTGCTGCTGCTGTGCTTGCTGTTGTGGCTGTGGCTGTGGCTGTGGCTGTGGCTGTGGCTGTGGCTGTGCGGTGATTGGTTCAGTGGTGGTGGTCGTGGTCGTGGTCGTGGTCGTGGTCGTGGTGGGTTGCTGTGGCATGGGTTGCTGGTCTGTTGTGGTTGCTTTGAGCTTGTTGTCTGTGTCTGTGAGCAGGGCAACGAGGGAAGGGCAGTCAATGTTGTCAAAGATGTCAGATGCCCAGCGTTCCCCTAGGTGTGGTGTGGAGGCAGAAGGGGTGTCCTCCTGCTGCTGCTGCGCTTCGTCCTGTGGCTGCTGGGACGCTGGTTCTGGCTGCGATGCTGCGCATTCACGGGAAAGGGCATGGGAGAGGAGGATGGTGGCGGCATGTGTCTGTCCAAGCTCGCTAGCAACGCGCTGCTCCACAGGAGAGAGTGGTTGCTGCTGGGTGTTGTTGTCGTTGTTGTTCTCGGGCTTGAGGGGGTGTGGTTGCTGCTGCACATGAGGTTGCTGTGCGTGCGATTGGGGCTGCTCAGATGCAGCTGTCAGAAAATGGTGGCCGCTCATCGTTGTTTGTTGCATTGGGTGGTGTGCTGGAGGCGGCCGGAGGGTTGTTCCGACAGACGATGCGGTTACGGGGGTTGATTGAAGAAAGCTGAGGTCGCTGTCAGTTGTTGTTGTGGCTGGTTGTTGGTTGTTGTTTGTTGTTGGGGAAGAATTCGAAGACAAAGAGACGTTCTTTGTTGTTGATGATGTTACGCAAAAGGAGAGGAGGAGTAGAGTTGGTTGGTGTGCTGAAGCTCGGTGTGTGTGTGTGTGTGTGTGTGTGTGTGTGTGTGTGTGTGTGTGTGTGTGTGTGTGTGTGTGTGTGTGTGTGCTGTCGTTGTTGTTGTTGTTGTTGTTGTTGTGGCTTTTTGCTTTTTGCTTTTGCTGTTGCTTGATATCTGCTGGCTCAGGCAATTCGTTTGGGTAGCTGGTGGTGGTGGTGTGTGTGTGTGGTTGACGGGCGGTGGTGAGTTACCGCTCACATTTGCGACCGCTGCTCTGAAACGGCTTTGGGGGGATGCGGGTGATCGGGCGCGCAACAGGGGGTTGGCGTGTAATAAATGAGAGGAGGGGAGGCTGTAAGCGCACACACACACAGGAAGGGAAGCTGCAGGTGATGATGGCAAGTGGGGCTTATGGCGTAATGTAACTTCCGGCCGGCTGGTGGCCAAAAAGGGAATTCAAAGAGGGAACGATAAATTCTGAAAGAAATCAATGAGAAATCGTCCCGGAAAAATACATGTGTCAGCAATAAAAATGCAATGTCAGCAGTAATTTATGGGGGGGTGCCATAATGTCGCATCGAATCAGGCGTAGTGTTGCTTTTTGTTGCTTTTGGTCGTCGTCTTGCTTTGCTTTGTATCGGATGGGTGGATGGAGCTATGTATTGAGAGACCAACGCAACGACAAAGAAAGAAGGGCATGCATGTCAAGGGGGGAGGGTGGGTGCCTGTGCTGTGCAGTGTTGTAGCCACACGCACACACACACGCACACGTACACAGGTGCAAACACAACTGCAGGCGTGCACAAACACAGCTGCACACAGTTGCGCGCACAAACAAGAAACAAGCACAGTTGCAGCACGTCAGTGTGTCCACTCGTCGAGGTACTCCTCCTTGCAGCCGATGCCTTCCTTCTCCAGCTCGGCAATGAGCGGCTGGTAAATGTCCTTGGTCATCGGCGCAAACACGCCCTTGCGCGTGATCTTGCCTGCAATGGAGGAGGAGAAGGAAGGGTGGGCGTGAGGAGAAGGAGGGAGGTGGGGAAGGGTGGGAAAGAAATGAGGGGAAGACAAGACGTTGCAATGTTGATTGAACGGATTTGTCACAACAGCCGCGAGCTTCATATGAAGCAACTCGCACACACATATAACCAAAAAAAGTATCTCCAACACACACACACACACACACACACACACACACACACACACACACACACACACACACACACACGCATGATCACACACATGCACACGCACACAAAATCACAATCACACGATCACGCACCGTCAAGGATGAGCTGGACAGCAATGCCGCAGGGGATGCCAACAGTGCGGGCCATGGCCGTTGCGCCAAACGGAATGCCATACTCAAGCATCGTGCTTGCAACAACGTACTGGTTGATGGAGAAACAGCAGGAAGTCATGGCATTGAACGAGTGAGGCGCAACGCGTGTCCTTATGTGTGTGTGTGTGTGCGTGTTCTTGTGTGTGTGCGTGTGTGTGTGTGTGTGTGTGTGTGTGTATGTGTGTGTGTGTGTGTGTGCGTGTGTGTGCGTGTGTGTGCGTGTGTGTGCGTGTGTGTGCGTGTGTGGGTGGGTTCACATGTGTGTGCATCTTTGTCCTTGATTGCTTGGAGGATGTGCAATGCAATCGTGTCAGGCAATACCTCGTCGCCGGTCTTCTTCTGGATGCGGAACTTGTGCTGCATCATGATCATGTCGCGCTCCCCGGGCTGGTACGCGCACTTGTCTGCGAGCGTGTGCGCCAGCGAGTCAAGCAGCGACACCTTCTTTGGACACACATCGTCGCTGAACAGGCCCAGCCTACAGTGGGAGACAAGGTGGGGAATTGGTTGTTGCTTGGTGACGTGAGTTGGAAACAAGACACGCATCTGAAAGCAAGACAAACATCCAACGCAAAACGTCCACAAAGCGCACAAGTATGCAGGCAGGTGCATTCAACACACATGCACACAAGGAAGGGCACATTCAACACGCATGCACACAAGCAAGGGCACATTCAAACGCAAATACACAATACACACACACATACACACACAATACACACACAATACACGAGCTTGTGCTGACCATTTCATGGCGGAGATGATACGGCGCTCCTCGGGGTGGTCCCGGATGCCCGCCCGCTCGGCAGCAGCCTTGGCCAGCGACCTGCATACACCGCAGGAAGAAGAAGCATGCATAGTGGTGGTGGTGATGGTGGTGGTGGTGGTGGTGGTGGTGGTGAGGTTGAAGGGGAATAAAAGTGAGATGCTGCTGTGGTTAAGTGTACACAAAGTAGCTCTCATCCACATGAGCACAAAAACACATGCACAAACACACATACGAATACATACACATGCGCACGCACACAAACACACACACACACACTCACGCTTCGTCGTTTGTGCAACCGAGCATCTTGGCGAGGACGTCCTTCCACGCCATGTCTGGGGCAGTAGGCTGCAGGTAGTCCTGTACACGGCGGTAGTCGGGGGGGAGTAGATGGTGGTCACGTGGCGTGAGGTGCTGCGCTGTCAGAGGAGTGGCGTGTCCACACGTATATGTACTCACCCACTCACTCACTCACTCACGCACGCACACACACACACACTCACTCACATCAGCAGCAGCGCACCTGCGGGTGGTCGTTGAGGAAGCCGACGAGGGCGAGGCTCTGTACCAGCAGCGGCGTGCCCTTGTAGCGCAGCGTGCCGCGGAGAATGGTCAGGCACTCCGGGATGTTGTACCGCTCCTCATATGGGGTGCTGTCGCGGTTTGGGTAGCCCTCAAAGGCAAAGGCCGGGTAGATGTTGATGTTGCGCACGCCCTTGCTCAGCACATACGGCGCCTCAATCTCAACCTTCTGCTCCGGCATGTGAATGGTGTGAGAGCGAAGGGGCAAGGGGCGGCGTGGTGTGAGTGATGAGGGCGAACAGGGGTGGGTGAGTGAGTGACATGTGTGTGTGTGTGTGCAAACACAGCCATGACGAGTGAGAGAGCTGCACATATGCACACACACTTGCACACTTGCACACTTGCACACTTGCACACTTGCACACACATATGCACATGCACACACACAGAGAGCAACATCGCACACCTTGCCGTGCTCAAAGTACTTGCAGCTGTTGCCGGCAGCCAGGAGGACGCCGCGTGCGCTCCAGCTGAACTTGTACCCGAGCGGGTTGTTGCTCGCCTCCGGTGCAGGCAGCCCTCCGCAGTAGGACGTAAACTCAAGCACCTGCACAAAGTGAGAGGCGCGAGTGACGGAAGCGTGGTGGATGAAATGGGGAGAGGAGATGATGTGTGAGGGAATAGTTGAAGACAAGGAGTGCACACACACACACACACACACACACACACACACAGGTATGTACCTTTGAGCCCTCCTCGTGTGCCTCGTCGATGATCTTCTTGGCGTAGAGGTGGTCGATGCCTGGGTCGACACCAATCTCGTTCATCACCGTGATACCCGCATCCTTGGCGCTGCGCCGTGGCAGTGGTGGCAGTGGTCGTGGTGTGAGGGAGAGGAGATGTGGCAGGCGAGACAAGCACCCCCACCCCCCCCCACCCCCCGAAAGGCCACATACAAGCGAGAACAAGCCCGCGCCATGAACACACACACACACAAACACTCACTCACACGCAAATATACGCAGACACTCACACACACACACACAGATATACGCAGACACACTCACACACTCACACACACACTCACTCTCACACACACACACACTCACTCACTCACGCAGACACACTCGCACACACTCACACACACTCACGCCTGGTCGAAGGAGGCCATCTTGGGGGAGACGTAGCTGGTGGAGACAAAGTGCTTCTTGACCTTGATGGCGGCCTCAATCACCAGCGGATGGTACGTGTACGGGATGAGGCTGGAGAGTACCATGCGAGTAGCAAGCACAAGGGTGTGCGTGGTTGGTTCGAGGTGAGTGCGTTGAAGTGAGGGGAGTGGGTGAGGGGTGTTGAGCGACGCACTCGCAGCAAGGCACGAAGAGAGGGGCACGTGTCGACAGGCAGACACGCACACGCACATGCACACCTGATGACAATGTCGTGCTTCTGGACCTCTGCGACGAGTGCCTCGGAGTCCTTGACGTTGAGCGAAATGGCGGCGGTGCGCTGGCGGTCGCCGGCAAGCTCCTGCGCCCTCTCTAGCGTGCGACAGGCTACGCGGTGTGCAGTTCAATGGCGAGGAGATGATTGTACGGCGCTGGCTCATCGACTGGAGAACCAACCAGCATTCAACCATGCACAACGCAACCGTGCGCACACAAACACGCAAGCACACACACACACACACACACACACACACACACACACACACACACACACACACACACACACACACACACACACACACACACACAAGCACACACACACACACGCACAAGCACACACAAGCACACACAAGCACACATGCAAGCACATACACACACGCACAAGCACACACACAAGCACACACACAAGCACACACACACACACACAAGCACACATGTAGTGGCATCTGTCGTACCGACGGTGATGGTGTTGTCATCGCGGCGGAGCAGGTAGTCGAGGCAGGGGCCCGCGACAAACCCGGCGCCAAGCAGCAAGATCTTGGGCCTGATACAGCAGCAGGGATGTGAGTAGATGCAAGAGAGTAGGAGAGGAGCGGGGCGAAAGGAGGAGGGGGGGAGCGCGAAGGGAATGGTGGGATGTTCCAGGGGTGAACCACAATCGTGCGCGCACATTCACTCGTTCACATACAAACCATTCACGAGCCCACACGTTCACTCACATGGTGGTTGATGATGAGTGTCGAAGGAAGAACGGCCTGCTTGGTGGCTGGGGCTTTGTGGATCACGGCTGGGCGGTGCAGTGTGGAAATGAACCACAAGGAAGGATGGAGCAACGCTCTCTGTCTGTGTTGTGGCAGGTGAAACACGTGTTCGTGTGTGGTGTTGTGGGTGTTGCAGTGGCACTTTCGTAACTGTTTCTGCGCTTTTGTGTGCGTGCGGGTTGTGTGTTTTCACACTGAATCGTCATCGTGGCACACTGGCATCGTCATGATGATTGGAGGTGGCGTGCTTGCTTGCTTGCATGCATGCATGCATGCACTGCACGCACGATAGTGTTACACGGGATTGAGCTGAGCACGGGGCTTTTTCATGCAGACAAGGTGTTGAGTGCAGTGCAGTGCAGTGTTGGTGGGTGTACTGGTTGGTGCGTGTCAGTCTCCGACTATCTCTACTACAACGCCGTGTGTGGAACGTAACGCAGAGTGAAGAAGAAGGAGAGCAGTGCGAGAAGGGAGGAAGAGGGAGGGAGAGGGAGAAAGGAGAACAAGGGGTTGTATGGGCAATGTTGTGAGAAGAGAACAGAAAGGCGCGCAAGAGAGTTTTGCGCACACGCACACACATGAACGCAAACGGTGGCTGGTTAGTCGCTGTCATCGTCGTCGTCCCACTCGTCGCTATCACAGCCTTCGACTTCCTCCTGTGGGGTGTGTGTGTGTGTGTGTGTGTGTGTGTGTGTGTGTGTGTGTGTGTGTGTGTGTGTGTGCGTGTGTGTGTGTGTGTGTGAGTTGATGAACAGAGGGATCGAAGGACTCAAGTACACACACGCGCGCGCAAGCACGAACGTGAACATAAATCAAAAACACACGCGCGCGCGTGCGAATCAGAGCAAGAGCAGCACGCGTACAAGGCCGTTTGTCCTGTGCTTGAACTGGTTGGTGAGGTTTGCCAGGCGATTCAACACCTGAACCCAAAGCATCGTGTGTGTGTGTGTGTGTGTGTGTGTGTGTGTGTGTGTGTGTGTGTGTGTGTGTGTGTGTGTGTGTGTGTGTGTGTGTGTGTGTGTGTGTGTGTGTGTGTGTGTGTGTGTGTGTGTGTGATGAAAGGCGGGTACATGCGTAATGAGGCTGGCGCGTGTGTCTGCAAAGGCGAATTATACAGCTCACGGAGCGTGACGCACGCAACACGCACACGCAACACGCACACGCAACACGCACACGCAACACGCACACGCAACACGCACACGCAACACGCACACGCAACACGCACACGCAACACGCACACGCAACACGCACACGCAACACGCACACGCAACACGCACACGCAACACGCACACGCAACACGCACACGCAACACGCACACGCAACACGCACACGCAACACGCACACGCAAATTCACACACCGTTCGTCCTCGGGGTAATCGGAAGGGTCGACGGCCTTTTCGCAGCCGTACTTGTCGAGCTGTGTGGCAAAGGCGCAGCGCACCTTGACGCGCGCCACGATGTACCGCTCCACCTTGTCCTTTGCAGTCACCGTGTGGAACTTGACCTGGGGTCAAGGTTGGGTGCGTGCGTGTGTGTGTGTGTGTGTGCGTGTGTGTGCGTATGTGTGTTTGTTTGTGAGGAGAGACTTGGGAAAGGATCGAAAGTAGGCAATGCAAGCTCCTTTGCACATTCCCAACGTACGTGCTGGATGACGCCTTCGCCCTCCACGCCGAGCCCCTTTGAGCAGAAGTCTGTGTTGCAGCGCGATTAGAAGCAAGGAGAAATTGAATGGTCGAAAGCGCATGCACATTCATTCGTGAGGAGGGCAACAGTGTGTGTGTGTGTGTGTGTGTGTGTGTGTGTGTGTGTGTGTGTGTGTGTGTGTGTGTGGTGCATGATTGATGGGCACAAGCACACCCAAACACAAACACAATCGTTCACACTCACTCACGCTCCTCTCGCTCTCTCTCTCTCTCTCTCGCGCGCGCGCGCGCGCGCGCATGCACACTCCTTCCCATCCACGCGCATTCACTCACGCAACAAGCTCACGCACACCCACAACACGCACCTTCATCTGGGTTCCAGTTGTACTTGAGCCGCACCGCGGAGGTCTCCTTGATGGTGGACGACATGGCTGACCGGCTGGTAGGTGGTGACTTCGTTGTTTGAGGTGAGGATGAATGTGCGCTGTTTGTTTGGTCTGTGGCTGCAAAACACGCACACAGCATGCAGATTTAGGTTCAAAAACAAAAAATTCGACATAGGAAAGCAAGAAGTGCCATATGACAACGTGGCCGAGTGGTTAAGGTGACGGACTGCTAATCCGTTGTGCTCTGCACGCGCAGGTTCGAATCCTTGATACGAACAAGCACAACCCCAGCACACTGCAGCTGGGGATCTGTCGAATGTCCTGCCGTTGTCGCACTTGTTTTTTTTTTTGTTTTTTTTTTTCATCCAGGGTGGTGTCTGGCTGTCTGGCTGTCTGGCTGTCTGGCTGTGTGTCTGTCTGGCTGTGTGTCTGTCTGTCTCCCTCCCTCCATCTCTCTCTCTCTCTCTCTCTCTCTCACTCACACACACACACACACACACACACACACACACACACACACACACACACACACACACACACACACACACACACACATTGCCACTCGCGCGCTGAAGGAGCAGCAACACTTGCCGCATGCAGGCATTTTCAGATTTTCCCGGCTGTAGCTGTTCCCTGCGTAGCTGCCTGCTGTTGTTTTGCTCATTGATGTAAAGCGATGTCATAAAACATGCATTGCATGCATGCAGGCATGCATTCTCGAGCTCGCTTGCTGACGCCACACCACACAGGCCCCCACGCGTTCATGCTTGACTGCTTGTTGCCTGTGGAGTACATATCTACTGCGACGCTGCGGTGCCACGGCAGTAACGGGGAAACGAACGCGGAGAAGGACAACACAGAAAGGTGGAGGCGAACCAACCAGTACAACGTGAACCAACTCTCTTGTTGTCAGACAACACGACAAAGCCTTATAAACGCAACCGCTCAGCAACATAGTACGTTGTGATGGCCTTTTAGTTTTGTCGCCTCGTGGGCAAGATACAGCTCCCTCTTGTTCCCACATCACAACACTCTTGTCACCGCTCATCCAGCCTTCCACACATGCATCAATCAGTTTCTCACCAACACACAAGAACAACGCTCACGCAAAACACGACAAACACCGCCCGCCACTCCACCACGCTGTCATCATGTCACTTCATCGAGCTATTTACTGAGGAAAAGCAGCAGGTCCCCAAACAACACACCACACCACCACACGCAGCACGAGCCAAGCCAACCAAACAACACCAACCCCTTCTGCACATTAAACTGCACCACCTAGTGCCAAGCCAGGTATCAACACTACAGCAGCATCAGCAGCACACATCAGCCAACCACGCCAGAAGTGTGGTTGGCTGTACAACACAGCGCCATGCAATGAAGAGACCAGGCAAGCACAAGCAAGGCGCGACATAAGCAAGCAAGAGAAGAGAAGAGAAGAGAACAAGAAAGGGAAAGAAGAGAGGAATCAGCAGGCATTCAGCCATGATCCGAACTGATGCACAAGTCGACACGACAACACCACAAGAATGGCGACTACGCGGACGAGCCAAGCGCCTCAACAGCGCGCTGCACGCGGGCGTGCACCTCTGGGTCCTGCATCAACTGCCCCAACACACCGTGGGCAGGCGAATCCTGCATGTTCTACCAGTGGAAACGACAAGTTGGGCGGGGGGAGGGAGGGGCGTGAGAACGAGAAGGCAGAGGAGGAGGAGGAGGAGGAGGAGGAGGAGGAGGAGGAGGAGGAGGAGGAGGAGGAGGAGGAGGAGGAGGAGGAGGAGGAGGAGGA